TTCTTCTTCTTCTTCTTCTTCTTCTCCTTCTTCTTCTTCTTCTTCTTCTTCTTCTTCTTCTTCTTCTTCTTCAGACGTCCGGTCTGGAGCAAACATTGACGACCACAGTACCCAATTGCTTCCTGTGTTCTTGCTTAGCTCGGTTAAAATGTTTCTCTTTGTTGTATTTGTTAAAAATTTGTTCATGCCTTTGCAGTATGTTCTTTGCAGTCCTCTGCTCTTAGTACCGGTATTTATACTAAACAGAGTAACTACTTTGGCTGTTTTGTATAAGAACTAACTTTGTATTTTGACCGCCGTCAAACCCGTTCATTACGATTTTAGAGCTTTAAGAAATCTTAAACGTGCTAAACTCCCATACGTGACCTCTGATATTTTCTGACTTTTATGTGAAGACAAGGCGCTCCATCAACCTACCCAGGGATAAAGTGGTAAAACGTGGGGGCGGGGGTGGGGGTGGGGGGTTAGAAAACATGACAAAATTACCCGATGCTGACAGGGTCAACTGGTCTATAGTACTGTTCTATTTATAGACCCAAGCACGTATGTATAGTCCTGGCAGGCTGACCTTTGACATTGTTGCACCACAGACTGAAATTTAAATGCCAAGAACTCTTGCTTGTTTTTGTTTTTGGTTCACAAAAAAGCATAAACGTTATCACTCCGTGCAACTGGCGGGCAGTTTATAGCGGACGACGTAGTTCATTATTTTTTTGTTACAGTCAGTTTAGATTACTATGCATATTTTTACACCTTTCGTACTTCCGAGATTTCAACAGCTTATGAAATTGACGCTCTTGTGCTTGTGAAAAGAGAGCTGACGACCGACAATATCTGGAGAAGTCTTGAGACTTCGACTTATCTCGTTCATCACACTGCATAGAGATGATATCGTCGTAGCAGGTCGTTCATTTGGACCAAATAAAGTGCACGGGCTCGATGGGATAATGTTGTTGTGTGTATGCAGTATGTAAATAATCCAGGGGAGCATGGTGGAGGAGCCAAGCGCACGGGATGAAATAAGACATGAGATTCGAGGACTAATTACGGTGAGTAATTTTTAGTATACGTTTCGTTTCTGCGATAGATATAGAGAAACTTTAGAGAATACTCCTTTCAGAAGAAAAATGAAAATATCAAAGAAACGTATTGTATCCATCTATGGTTGACTAATCAATGATGATTCTTTACTGTTTCGTGGTTTGTGTATTCTGGGGACTAAGTGCAACGTAAATTATAAATATTATTACTGTTATTATTATCATTTTATTATTATTATTATTATTATTATTATTATTATTATTATTATTATTATTATTGTTACTTTATTTTGCCCTTTTCACTCCTACGTGTATTAGAAATATTTATCATAATCATAGACACAACGTTTTCTGTAAAAGATAAAGGTATGTGCAACTTGTAATTTCATCTTTTTATCTGGGACTGAATGTCTTAAGTTACCATTTTTTTAAATGGACACAGACTAATATTTGTATCTTTATAACGACACATCATAACGTCAACTAAAAAGTGGAGGAGAAGGAAGGAAGGGGGAGAGATTTCTAACTGAAAGTAGATCTATTTAAATATCATATTTAGTCTACAGAAGAAAATGGGAATGGAAGGGTCTCGATTTGGATACGAACGTCAAATTTTAGTTTGTCAGTCCGCGAGATAAAGAAAAAGGAAGATATCTGGGTGAATGGAAGCAGAATGCATTTTCGTGGACAAAGACGAAGAGATTTAGAACTTTCTGTGCGCCTTATTGACCACAGACATAACATTTCAAAGGCTTACTGTACACTGTTGGGGTTCAGGAGTGTATTTTACTACTAGCCTGGGCCCTCAGACGAAGTACATGTTTATTAAATTGTATGTAACCAAATGCAGGTTTTGGGACACCGGAGCAGACATAAAGGTCTTGAACATCTAGCTCTCACTGGCAAAATTGAAGGCAAAAGAGGCAGGGGTAGGCCCAGAGCAGCCTACTTGGAAAACCTAAACAGTTGAGTAACGTGGAAAGATCAGGGTAGTGTAGTTTTTTGTGTTTTTGTAGAGCAGATAAGATATTTGATGATGATGATAGGTATAACGACTCTTGCAAAGCTAACTTTATTTAAAAGACGGGACCTCTGGATTTCACTTTCAGCTCCAATAGAACCAACCCTCAGACAATGGCACGGTATGACAGAGGGGCGGAGAGACAGGAGTCTAAAAGCCTCTTGAAAAAAGACACCACCACTGCACCAGCCTAATTGAGTTTTTTGGGAATGGGAATAGTGACACCTGTTAGTGAAAAAAAATGGCTCACAAGTGAATGTATGGGTTTAGTTTAGTTTAACTTAGTTTAGTTAATTTTATTACTTTAATTTAGTTTAGATTAATAGGAGTTTTACGACGCCCGCAACAGCATAAGGTACGGGTTTAACACCCCTTTCAACTCTTTTAAAGTACCGTATTTAAGAATTTAGAGGAATCACCAATAGGACCGAGCAAAATGGATGAGCGTCTAACACAAACTCCACACAATGACCCGAGTTCAAGGACGACTTCTCAGGATTCGAACTGTATAGTCCAGCATGATGTCAGCTGAACTAACGGAACTCCCGTGATGCATATAAGATCCCTTCTGTAAGGTGAAATAAAGACAGGAACCAAACGTCAAAGAATTAGAAATACACTTAATCACAATCGCACATTTAGGAGTAGATCTTCGCAGGATATTGCATAATGAGAAAGATATCCGTGCAGTGAGTCGGACAGGAATTTGTAAACAATTTGGTGCGGTTAGAGTGTGTATTTGTGCGTTATCAAAGGCAAAGGGTAAATCTATGTTAGAAAAAGCTGAAGTTTTCATCTTTAAAGATGATTTCTTTAGTATGTAAAAATATCAATTAGCGTCATTCAAATAACACAATCAGTGTGAACGTCAAGAAGATTAGACAAACAAACCTATTGAATTAAAGAAAGTATAAAAGTTGATCTGAAACTTTTCTGCTTCACAGGTTTGATCACATTTGTGTGGTCTTCAGATCATCTCTCCAAAGTCAAGATCAGTGACCTCTGGATAGCTTTCAAAAAGCTTGTATGCAGTCAGGGATCAGCCTGTCAACTCGTCACGAAAAGGACAAAATTTTAAAGACGTTTCAACAAACACCAAGAGCATATATCCCCCTCTGGCTAAACCATACATATTTGCAATTGACTTTTTACTTAGCTAGAGAAAGTGATTAATAAGACCTTCAAGTCATGGCGTCTATATCACCAAAAGGAGAATCTTTTAAGTCTCGACTGCTTTTCCAATGGTGTGAGAGAGCTTATGGCGAGAGTGAGCGAAGGTCAGGACAACTAGTAGAGCAGGAGTTGTTTGATCTTCCTTCTGATCTCAAAGCGGTGAAATGGAGACGGCGTCTGGAAGCTTCTTGGAAAACAGTGCTCGAAAGTCAAAGAGCACAATATACATCTGTAGATCCAGGACCAGATGATGAGCTGATAACGGAAAATTCCTCAGAGGAGCAGAAAGAGGACACACACGGTATCAGATGGCTATTTTCAAGTGTCTTGTTTAGAACTGTATGGCGTGTTTATAAGGGACTATTCTTCCAAGTGCTGACTTTCCTGATATTAGGACGCATTTGTGCGATGATTGCAAAACCATTTTTGATGACTCAGTTGATCCAGTTTCTGAGTGAAGGTTCTCCTTTCGCCCTGAGCTCCGGAATTCCCATTTTTCTTTTGATGATGATGTTTCTCTTTCTGTCTTCGCTTGCTCAGGAGTGGAGCTTTTACGTCACAAGTATGGCTGAAATAGCCATAGGGTCCGGAGTAGGGAACATGGTGTTCGCCAAGGTGTTAAGACTTTCTAGTGCAGAGAGGCGAAAATTTACTATTGGAGAAATAAACAATATCCTGACATCGACTGTCCCGAAAATGGCAAACAACTTGAGCGCAACAGCATATGCATTCACTAGTGTTTTCAACCTCTTGGGGAACTGTATTTTCCTCTATGTATATGCTGGTTGGTTTTCTGTATTAGTCATTGGCCTCATGGGAGTGTCTGTGTGGGTCTCGGGGTCGGTAGAGAAAAAACAAGAGCAAGTTTCCCTTGAAAAGTCTGAGGCCCAGAACCGCAAGATGACGTTACTCACCCAAATGTTTCGTGGAATAAGAGTGATCAAATTGCACGCATGGGAAAAGGTGTTTGGTCGACGTTTGGAAGCAGCTGTGGACGAAGAGTTAAAGCTGGGAAGGCGAGAGATTTTGTTGTACCTTGTATCGGCTGTGATGTGGGATATTGTGCCCATGCTGGCTATAGCGCTCTTGCTTCTCTGCCACTTGCAAATTGGGGATGTGACTACGTTTCTGCGTCCAGACTCGATCTTTGGCGTTGTTGTCGTCATAAACGACATGAGGTTTTTCCTGGGCGAGATGACTCTTCTCTATAGCTTGCTCTACCTTGTCAAGAACTCTGTTCGAAAAATAGAGCCGTTGTTATTGGCTACAGAAATTCACCTGGAAGAGGGTTTGATCTCTCTTCAAAGCAATGAACCTGTTGCGGACACGACTGCCCCTGATGAAAATTCAGGTGGAACTTGTAGTGAAAATGTACAGGACTGTGCATTGTCCTGTATACAGGAATTTGACTTTGAACACAGGTATAATGAAGCAGCAATTATTCCAAAGAAAGCTCTACAATTCAAAGATCGAACAGTAATTTATCCTCATACTGACCCGATTTCTATGTCTAACGCTACTTTCATTTGGGACAAACGCAAAAGAATTGACTTTTCCCTTAGAGATTTTACCGTGAACATTCGTCGTGGAAGGTTTGTAGCGGTTGTAGGCAAAGTGGCCAGTGGAAAGTCATCCTTTTTGGCTGCGATTCTCGGAGAAATGGAAAGAGTTTCTGGAGTAGTACGGACTACGGGTACGATCGCCTATGTCCCTCAAGAGGCGTGGCTAATGAACGATAGCATCCGTGCCAACATTCTGTTTGGGCAAACTCTTGATCCGCCACGATACAAGCGAGTACTCGAAGTCTGCGCGCTAGACAAAGATTTGACCCAGTTCCCCTCTTTCGACGACACATTGCTAGGTGAGAAAGGAGTTAACATCAGTGGTGGACAGAAGCAGAGGATCTCTCTAGCCCGTGCAGCATACAGTGGGGCTGACCTCATTCTCTTAGACGACCCCCTCAGTGCAGTTGACGCGGAAGTTGGTGAGCACATTTTCAAAAGTCTCCTCGGTCCTTCTGGACTTCTCAGTGACACGACTCGAGTCATGGTGACTCATGGTGTTCAGTGGCTCAGAGGAGTTGACTCCGTGTTGCTTCTTCAGCTGGCCCCTGATGGCACAGCTAACATAAAAGAGCTCCCAGGTGGCGCTGCTAGCATTGACGGGTTCCATACAAATGAGGTCTGTGAAGACGACAGGGAGCAGCAGCAACAACAACTGAAAATGACAATCTATGGAGACTTTGACGCCAGAGGTTATACTTGGTTGGAAAATGAAGATTCTTTAAAGAAACCCATTGAGGAAATCTCCAGAAACGAAAATACGGATGACGATGCAGAGCTGCTGTCAATTTCAAGCCTCGAGTGTCTTTTCGCCTATCTGAAGTTTTTCGGAAAAGGCTCAGGTTTAGCTTTGGTTTTGCTTAGGTTAGTGTGTGCTGCTATATTTGCACTTCCAGGTTTGTCTTTGCAGGCGTGGTCAGATGATTTGAACGGTACTGAAGTGACACATTGCAAAATAGCACAGCATCAGAAGAATGCCGGCTCCTCAAACTGTAGTGCTGCCGACGAGTTAAAATATAGTGTAGAGAATGAGTCTGATGTTCGTGTGTGGAACATAAGCCTCTACTACTTGTCTGTCTTTTTGTCAGGAACTGGCGCACTGTTCCTTGTCCTAGTCGCATACCAACTGTTATTGGCTCATAGCGTGTTTCACTGCACGAGGAAAATGTCACAGTGTTTGCAGTGGTCAGTGTTCAGATCCCCTTTGGCATTCTTTGAAACTAACTCTATCGGGAAAATTGCTCTCCGTTTCGGCCATGATGTGAATGAGATCGGCCACGATGTTCCTGTGAAAATAGAATACGTCACCGTTGGGTTTTTAAATGTAGCAATCAGTTTATCTGTTGTGTGCTTTGCATGCTCTGAAACTTCCCTTCTACTCCTTCTTTTTATTCCTTTCATGTATCAAACCATAAAGAAATACATAAATGTGACCGGTTCGGTTCAAAATCTAATTAAAAAGTATGAAGACTTCCAGTACAGTAAAGCATTTGAGGCAGTGGAGGGATCAGAAGTCATCAGAGCATTCGGACACACCGACAGGTTTATTGCTTCTTATGAACAGGCGACAGACAAATGCAACAAAATTCATTTCAACAGAAACGCACAAAGTCGATGGATGAGCTCTCGGCTTCTTCTCAGCAGCAGCGTGTTCACCGCTCTATGCGCTTTGGTAACGGCCTTGTGCGCGCCAGAGAGCACTCTGGGCTCCACAGTTGGACTTGTCATAACCTATGCTCTGGAGGTTGGTCATAACGCTTTCTTTTTCGGGCTTCTCTTGAATTCAGCTGCCAAAAGTCTTACATCTATAGCGAGATTGACGAAATATTTATCTCTTCCAAGCGAGGCGGCGTGGAAAATAGAAGATGAGGGAGGCCCGTCGAAATGGCCTACCCACGGGAAAGTTGTCTACAGAAATCTGTGTGTGGCGTACGGGGTTCATAACTCTGCTAAGAGCGATGATAACTGGGATTGTAACGATATGAATATGGTTCTGAAAGATGTGTCTTTTACCGTAATGCCAGGTGAGAAGATTGGAGTTGTTGGGAGGACTGGAGCCGGGAAAACTACCCTCCTTCTGTCATTGTTTCGTTTGGTAGAGGCACGAAGTGGGTCTGTGTACATCGATGACATCGATATTAGCACACTCGGCTTACACGAGTTGAGGTCAAAGGTAGCGATCATCCCTCAAGACCCCGTTCTCTTCACAGGGACACTTCGATCCAATCTAGATCCTGAAGGATGCTCGAGCGATGATGACATCTGGACATGTTTACAACATGTGGGTATGGAGAAGTCCGTCAGCTCTTTACCTGGTGGTTTAGATTTTGAGTGTTCAGAAGGCGGAGCCGGGATGAGCCTCGGCCAAAGGCAACTTTTGTGCATGGCTCGGACGTTGATGAGAAAGTGTCGGATTCTTGTTCTCGACGAGGCCACGTCCTCTGTTGATTGTGACACTGATCGTCTGCTACAGAGTACTTTACGTCACGAGTTCTCGAGCTGTACTGTGTTCACGATTGCGCACAGAATCGATACTGTCTTAGACTATGATCGGATCTTGGTGCTGGACTCCGGTAAGATCGTAGAGTTTGACTCTCCTGCTCAACTGTGTAACAACCCGGGGAGTTTCTTAAGAAAGCTCAGAGAACAAAGTACAGGTTGAGTAGTCTCTGACACAGTATTATAATATATGTACTCTGTTTATATTCACTGCCTCTCCTGCCCTTCTAATGTTCATGCTCCATTTTACTTCTATGGACTTACTTTTCATACACATGTATACAAAATTGTTATTTATAATATAAAAGAGGGGGAGGGAGGGGGAGTGCAAAAATAGGTATACGGTTATGAAAAAGGAAACGCGAACATTACTCATGGCATTTATCTCCCAAAACAAATGAAAATTGTATATTTCATATAAGAACAAGCATACCGTCAATCCTGCAGGTACTCAAACTGTTGACCAATTGTATTCACTCACTCTTCTGTTAGCTTTAATGAAGTAAGTATTAAAACAAAGGTTTTATACTTACTGTATATTTGAGTTTACACTCTCTGTATATTTATTTTGTGCGATCATCATCATCATCATCATCATCATCATCATCATCATCATCATCATCATCATCTCATCACCACCATCATCGTCATCGTCACCATCATCAGAAAATGAAGAATTAATGATGTCCAATGTTGTGATCAATGATCAATACGGTTTCAATTTCGTCACCTGTTGCAAACTGCAAACTGCAAAGCTCTTATTTGTGAAGAGTCGGTGGAAGCTGCTTCACCGCAGTATTATTAGCATGGTAACAATCTTAATTGACTTGACTGTTCTTATGCGCCTAAGATCCTGCTCAGGAAGCATGTTTCGCACTATAGGACCAAAGACTAAACAAATTCTTTGTCAGACCTGAAGCTTTCTGAGTGGGTTCTCAAGAAACGTATTTAAATTTTGTTGAAACCTTATCACACTTCGGAAGAAAGGCTTTATACAATTCGGCACTTTGTCATTTTGACAGGAGTTATGTAGCAACCACTTCATTAAACTCGTTTTAGATGCCTTGTCTGTAGGAATGATTAAGTCTTAGAATAGAGGGATTTTTGTAGCTATGTTTTCTTGTTTGTTTGTTTTTTTAAGTTTTTCGTTCATTTCATTTCTTTTGTTAAACATTCCGGAACCTGTCATGAATAATGTTTATAAAGTCTCATGATGTATTAAAACTAGAAAACTAAAAGCATTACTCACGTGGTCCAAAAATAAATCTGTGGATTTTGAGTATAGTATTATGCTTAGCTCTATGTATTACAATATTTACGACAGCAAGTGGTGCTACGCCCATGGAGGTGACAACAAGCACATGAACAGGACTCTGAAAAGGAGGATCTGGTGAAGGAAAAGGAGAAGGGGAACGAGGGGCTGGATATATAAGGAGGGGGGAAGAAGCAGGAGTAGGACGAGGAGGAGGAGGAGGAGGAGGAGGAAGAGGAGGAGGAGGCGTTGTATGATGATGATGAACAATAAAGCTTTATAATCTATCTATTTATCTATCTATCTATCTATCTATCTATCGATATCCGTCTATCTATCTATCTATCTCTCTATCTATCTATCTATCTATCTATCTATCTATCTATTTGTCTGTCTAGCTAGCTAGCTAGCTATTTATTTTTCTATCTATCTATCGATCGATCTATCTATTTATCTGTCTATCTATTTGTCTGTCCATTTATCTGTCCTTACATCTATCTGTCCATCTATCTATTTAATTTTTATCTAGCTCGCCGAGAGAGGTTCCCTACTTGAGAAGAGTACAGAGGCCTTTAGATTTCTGATAGGACGAACTGCCGGCTATTCTCTTAACCAATAGGACAATAGGGAAACTGTACACTGCCCACCGCTGCTGAGCTATAAATCCCCCCTTCGTACCTCTCTGCCCAACCTATGAAGTCTATAAAGCTCAGACACACGTTGCTAGGAAATTCTTGATAATCATGAACAGTCTAGAGTGTATGGAACACACCTCGCTGTCAATTGGACAGTAAGTTAGATAAATCTGTTTGAATCCCTTTATATTGGACAATAAACCTTCGTTCAGATCTTTTGTAGGTTGCACACTTGTCCAATATATAGAGACAACAACAACAATGATGGTTTGGTACTTTTCTTGAATTGAAGACATTTTCAGTCTGACAGAGCTGTTTTTCAGAAAATAGCATGTTTGTTTGTTTATTTGTTAGTTTGTTTTGTATCAGTTTTTTATTTGTTTTGATATTTTTGTTAAAGGTAGACGCAAAATATTAACGGAGTTCCTGTGTATGGTACAATAGGTTTGACCTACAGAAAACTACGACGGCACATTTGCCAACACTCATACACACACACACACACACACACACACACACACACACACACACACACACACACACACACACAGAGAGACACTCACACACATACACACACACACACACACACACACACACACACACATACACATACTCACTCACTCACTCGCACGCATATACAAGCACGCACGCACACCCAGACAAACAGAGAGAGAGAGAGAGAGAGAGAGAGAGAGAGAGAGAGAGAGAGAGAGAGAGAGAGAGAGAGAGAGAGAGACTTTTATGTTGTAATCAATGTCACCACAAGCTGTTTTAACTCTTATGGGCCGGTACGATTTGAACCAAATTTCTCACACACCTATAACGGGCCACATACCCGATTTCAAGACAAACCCAGCTGAAAGAAATAAAATGTAGAAAAATACAATACTTTGGCCACTTAAAACGACATGAGACCATTGTGAAAGAGGTACTTAAAGGAAGGATGTAGGGCAGGAGAGCCAGGGAAAAACAAAGAGTGACATGGATGGACAACAAAAAAACATGGACTAGCCTGGTTATATCGTGATGTGCAACGGCAGCTCACGACCGTGCGTGAAGGATGGAGGGTCATTACACGTCAACCTCTGAGTCAGAGATGACACCTCAATGAATACCTGATTTAATGGAATTCTATTAACTGAACGAGTGGTTGTCAGGGGACAGAGATTTGTCACGTCGCTATCTCAGAAATTACAGCACTCTATCTGACATTTTTGGCCGTTTTAAGGTACTAAGACCATGAGATTAGAAATCAATTGCTCTGTCTGCTCTATCAAAATCGTGCGACTATTCGGAGTGGTCATAAAGATATTTAAAGAATTGCTTTCGAAAAAGCTTGACATTTTGTGAAACTCAAAATCTTTGACGTCAAATTTCCCAAAACGAGGTACTGAGAAGATAGAACTTTTGTAATTCTGAGGTAACAAAATATCACCACAAGCTGTTTTCCCCTTATGGCCTAGCATGATTTGAACCAACTCTCTCTCTCTCACACCTGTCATAATCTGGTTACCTACAGGATGGCATCCTATTTCGATCTGAACAAGTGGCAGTCAGAGAACGTAACTCTGTCACGCGTCTCCCTGTGGGTGTCCCCTCTCAGTCACACCATGTACCCTCATCCGCACGATCGCTTAGGTGTATTGATTATCACATGACCAACACTCAACACAGCACTGTACGATACTCACGGTATCGGTATGGTTTCAAATTGTTCTCAACTTCGAGTATTTTTATTTCTCGTAGAGCGCATAATATTTGACCTTTAAATGTCAAATGTACAGGTATTTAATGTGAAAAGTTGACGTCTGTGAGTATAATTTATTGCTTTTTAGTTTGCGTTGTTTCGTCCTCAAGCCTTTCTGCTTTTCCTACGGTTTTTCACAAGAAATAAATAGAATGAAGGCCCCTTTGATACAACATAGCGGAGGATTTGCTCATTCCCATTTAGAGAGGCAAAAGAACTATCTCGATTTATTTGTTTAGTCACAGAAGACCAAAACAGCTCAAGAAGGCAGAATAGAAAGACACATAGAAAGGTATAACCACTGGAAATGCTAAGAAGAAGAGAAGGAAGTAAGAGAATGAGTCGCTTAAAAAAAAAAAAGAAGAAAAATAAGGATTCACGGTGAAAGAATTATGTATACTGGCTACAATCAATAGTTTAGATTGGAATTGCTCTGGGTTACTGGCAGTATGCAATAGAATCACTCTACTTTGATATTGACGTGTGCCAACGAGGTTCGACAGTTGGTAAGAGTTGAGAGAATATAATAATAACAAACAGATAGCATTTACATAACACAAATATCCGCTTAACAGCAATCCTTATACACCATACTGTCAATATCATTACTATATCAGAACAAAGCGTTCTGATTTAATCTCAACCTACTTAGAACCATACTACAGTGCAAGCTGTTGTTTACTAGTGCTGATTGAAAAACTACTAACATGATCTTTCGCTGTTTATACCGAGTGCCCTTTCACACCTGAATAAAGAGAAGAAAATTCGTCCAAGAGACTTTCTGGGGAAATTTTATGACTTTGAAAGGACAGAAAGAAACTGCTCTTTTGCGTGGTACTCATTAGAATGACTCTAAACACACAATCTACAGATATGATGAGCTTACTTTACAATATCGTTACAGTGTGGAATCGGACTGTTTCGATTACAATCACAGGATCTCAGACTGGAAACGATCCCGACAGTCCACAGCGTTTCCTACTCTCCCAGATACCTGGCGGGTCCTCTGGTATTTCGGTGTTGGAGCTACCACCAGAAGGCCTGCTATATCATGGGCTGCTGTAATAGGCCGAGACGACAGAAGAACTCGTCAGGATAAGATAAAAGTCCGTTGTGTGCCCCAACAATGATCGAGAACGTCTGTGCTCAGGTGGATATTACCATTGTACTTCCTGCCTACGGTAATGTGATACTAGATCTATATAGTTTTGAAGATTAAAAAGAAAACACGCAGTTTGTGTGGAAGTATTCAGCTCAGATATTATGTGTGTCAAATGCAAAAAATATTTGAAGTCACGACCTGTAAAAGTGCTTAATAATACTACATTTATATGTTATCCCATTGTTGTCCTATAAATTCATTTCGATGGAGAAGAGCAAAGATACAAATGCAGATTGCAACACACACAAAAAATCCAGAAAAAAACGTAAAACAGTGTTTACCAAAAAAGCCCAGATGTACAGTTAAAGATCCGAACAAAGATGCTATAATGTTTTTAAAAAAAACATTTTTGTCTTTTTCAGTTTTGGCATTTCCAAGTAACAATAATTATTTTAAAAACTGCATTCATACGACATATATCTATGCACTACAGCATGCTTAGCGCTCTTTACAACTATTGCTACAACAAAAGAGCCTAGAACCTTTTCACTCCTGGGATGCATGTGGAAGAAAGACGGTAAAATTAATGTGCAAGCATACCCTATGTTGTTTTGTGCTGATCTCTTTTACACTGGCTCGCATTCTACTTGTATTGCCTCAGTTTATGTTGACGTAAATTCTGAGTTTGCAATTGCCATTTGTTCCTGTCTTGAGTTCGTTCTCTAAACGGTCGCCTTTTTCATTTGAAATCACTCTCGCAGAAAATGTTCCATTGTTTTGTAATAATTATGTGAATCTGATTAAATATTTTAAACTACAATCCTTCATCGGTGTCTGTGGTGTAGTAATAAGGGCGCATTGTCGTCGCATGCAGAAGACCGGA